GAATAACATGAGAGAGAATGGAAGGCAAATAAAGAAGTGAAGATAGATATAAAGGAGGAGATCAAAAGGTCTATGAAAGAGTTGCATTGCATCCCAAACGTCGTCGGACTGAGTTATGTAGAGTTGTGTATCCACCTAGATTTGAACCTTCCTGAAGGGATCAAAATTCTGAAGTTTGATACCTTCGGAAGAGTAGGAAACCCCATGGCGCATCAGAGAGCGTATTGTGACCAGCTCATGGGAGTTGGCAAGGATGAGGCCTTATTGATGTAGCTTTTCAGCCAGAGTCTGTGTGGGGAAGCCCTCGAGTGGTTTACGTCACATGAAACAAAGAAGTGGCCAAGTTGGAGCGTGTTAGCTAAAGACTTTATTGACCGATTTGCATACAATGTTGAGATAGTTCGCGATCGGTATTCTTTAGAGAAGATGAAGCAGCAAACCAACTGAAAGCTATCGGGAATTTGCCTATAGATGGAGGAAGGAAGCAGCAAGGGTGAGGACTCCAATGACCGAGAAAGAGATTGTAGAAGTGTTTGTGCGGGGGCAGGAGCCCGAATACTATGACAGAATCATGCTGTTAGTAGGAGCCAAATTCACCGAGATAGTCAAATTGGAAAGACTATCAAAGGCGGTCTGAAGTCGGGGAAGATAGCCCGAGTATCCGCGTCACCTGGATCTTTAGTATTGATGTGGAACAAAAATGAGGAAGTTGACGCTGTCTCATATGGGGGAAGAAAAACTCCCAAAAACTTGTCGCGTCCCCAAGATCGCTCCAAACCTTCACCAAAGTCTCACCAAGCCTATTACCCACAATCCAATCATCCCAACAACCACAATACTGCCCCTACCTATTCAAATGCTCAAATTTTGTCGTACCAAAGTCCACTCCTAAATCTCCAAAAAATTTCCCCCATGTACCCAAATTACCCCCAACCTTACCAAATTCCATCCCCTTATCAGAATATTGCTCCCAACTATGCCAATGTAAAGTCGAGCTACCGAGCACCTCCGTCAACATATCAATTCCAAGCTCCAGCATATCAAAACCCCCTCCCGAATTACCAAGCTCCTGTGCCAAATTACCAGACAAACCCTTACCCTAGAATTCAAGCTCCTCGTCCAAATGCCCGCAATTATCAACATGTTCCTCCCCCTCAGTAAATCGGTTATGATCCTTATCATCCCAAGTTTGAAAAAAAGCCTTCGAGGAACTGTACCGCACAGGCTGAAAGCCGGACCAAACTATTTGAATGACTAGCCGCGGCTGGATACATCCACCTAGTGGGGCCCAAGCCTGTGGATGTCAACTCAAAGTTCTACAAGCCAGATCAGAGATGTGCTTATCATTCCAACAGTGTTGGACATGACACGGATGACTGTATCAATCTTAAGCACAAAATACAGGATCTGATCGATTAGGAGGTAGTCTCCCTCCAACCGGCACCGCCGAATGTCAATACAAATCCGTTGCCGAATCATGGGGGTGGCAACATTAATATGATTTAAACAGATGAAGATGGGTGTGGAACAAAGAGGATTACTCCTATTGCACAGGAAGACTTGGAAAGGTTTGTGGCTTCTTTAAGCGTCAAAGAAAAGAGAGAGCTTATTATTCTGACACCTACAAAGGTTTTTGCCTCGGTTCCTTCGAAAACTTTCGTCAAGCCCAAATTTGTCATCGAAACTTCTGTGGTCCAAGGTATGACCAAGTCTGGAAGATGCTACACTCCTGATGAGCTTGTTCTCAGAGGACAGAAGAAAGACTATGCCAAGAGTCTAATAAGCGAAGAAGAAGCAGAAGAGTTCTGGACGAGGATGCAACCGAAAGACTATTCCATTGTCAAACACTTAGAGAAGACTCCAGCTCAGATATCCATGTAGGCCCTGCTGATGAGCTCTCAGTCCCACAGGAAGGATTTGATGAAAGCTCTTGATTATACGTACGTACCCTCAGGTACAAGTAACGATAACATGGCTGCTATGATTCATCAAGTTATTTGGGGGCACCGGATCAGTTTTTTTGACGATGAGTTGCCAGTAGAAGGGAGATCCCACAACAAAGCTCTGCACATCACTGTGATATGCCGTGGAAAGGTTGTCAATCGTGTTTTGGTAGATGATGGATCTGGTTTTAATATTCCCATTGTCGACATTGAGGCAGGTGAGGTTTGACCTCATAAAAGTTGGAGCAAAACCAGGTTAATGTAAGAGCGTTTGATGGTGTGCAAAGAGACACATTAGGGGCATGAATTTGACCCTTCAAATGGTCCCCATAGAGTTCAACACGAAATTCCAAGTGTTGGATATCAACACCAGTTACAACCTTCTTTTGGGAAGGTCGTTCATCTACATGGCTGGAGCCGTCCCCTCCACCCTTCATCAAATGATGAAGCTGGTATGGAAGAATGAAGAGTTAGTTCTTCTTGGCGAGGGAAATCACTCAGGCAAGTAGGTTCCGGTCATTGACGAGATACAGCAAGGCGCAGACTTTTACACAGTGGTGCTAGTGAATGCCACCGATGAGGATTAGGACCCGCAAACCCCCATGCCAGCCGTATACAAAATGATAGCCACGGTGATGTTGCAGAATGGGTTTGAGCCAGATTTAGGGTTGGGAAGAGATTCCCAAGGAATTATTGAACCTGTTTCGGTCCTTGTTAAAGGATCCAGGTATGGTTTGGGGTATATCCCCACAGACGACTACTTAAGGACGAAGAAGAAAAGGGATCAAGAGTTGGCTAACACGATCCCGCATCTGTATCAATATCTTCAATCCGGGAGTATGCCGAGCTTGAAGACTGTGGGGAAGGAATCTGTGATCTCGTCAAGGAGATCAATGCTATTGTCGAGGAGGAGGTCGAGTCAGTTGATATTTGTGATGTTGAACCAGGGGAGGTGCTGCAGAATTGGACTTCCACGCCGATCCTGATGTCCCAAACTCTTCGGTAAAAAGAAGTTATTTTATGCACACTAAAATCTGTGTTTGTCCGGAAGAGGCCCGAGACCCACCATTTCTGCATTTTTCTTAATTGTTCGAATTTTGAATTTTTGTTCTGATGTTTAAAAAGGCAACATGGCCCTATGCCATGACCAAAGTTTGCATTTTGTTTTAAATGAAAGCCTCTTTATTTTTAACTTTGTTTATTCAGTTGTTTGTTATACTTTACTTTCCTAATTTTCTCTATTTATGATTTCAGTAACATAAGTTACAGACCCGCCAATGTCATGTCATGTCATGAGCTAAATGAACAAAATGAGACAAATGACGACAAGGTTGACGACTCTGAAGAAAGAAGTGGGGAACCAAATTATGTTGCCAAGGAATTTCGATAGTTCAAGAAGCAGCATAAACTGAATCTAGAGGAGACGGAAACGGTGAATTTGGGATATTCAGAATGTGTCAAAGAGGTTAAGATCAGCACCCACCTGGATGAAACTCAGAAGGAGAGCCTGGTTCATTTGCTTGCCAAATACAATTGTGTTTGTTTGGGAAGTCGGTGATATGCTGGGGTTGAGTACCGATCTCGTATCTCATAAGCTACCTATTAACCTAGGGTTTGAGCCGGTGAAGCAAAAAACTCGAAAATTCAAGCCTGAACTAAGTTTGAAGATTAAGGAAGAAATCACCAAGCAAATAGAGTCTCAATTGGTGGAAGTAACACAATATACGACCTGGTTGGCCAACCTCGTTCCGGTCGCCAAGAAGGACGGGAAAATCAGGATTTATGTGGATTATAGAGATCTCAACAAGACTAGTCCGAAGTATAATTTTCCGTTGCCAAATATCCATATTTTGATTGACAACTGTGCCAAACAAGAGATGCAGTCATTTATGGACTGTTACGCAGGTTATCACCAAATTTTGATGGATGAAGAAGACGCGGAAAAAATGACATTCATTACACCTTTGGGCGTATATCACTAAAGGGGGATGCCGTTCGGCCTGAAGAATGCCGGTGCCACTTACATGAGAGCCATGGCAACTATTTTCCATGACATGATTTATAAAGAAATTGAAGTCTATGTGGACGACTTCATAATCAAATCTCGTGAGAGTTTGGATCATTTGACACACCTGAGAAAATTCTTTGAACGTTTGCGTCGGTACAACTTGAAGTTAAATCCCACCACATGCGTTTTTGGAGTCCCAGCTGGGAAGTAGTTGGGATTTATAGTCAGCAGAAGGGTATTGAGCTTAACCTCTACAAGATTAAAGCAATTCAAGAGTTACATCAGCTGAAAACGAGAAAAGAGGTGATGAGTTTCTTAGGGAGGTTAAACTATATTAGCCGGTTTATAGCACAACCAACAGTGGTGTGTGAGCCTATTTTCAAGTTGCTAAAGAAAGACGCCCCGACTAAGTGGACTGAGGAGTACCAAACTGCTTTCGATGCATCAAGAGCTACTTGTCTAACCCACCGGTATTGGTTCCTCCGCGAGAAGGGAGTCCTTTGTTGCTGTATTTGTCTATTTCAGATAGTGCCTTGGGATGTGTACTTGGTCAACACGATGAGACATGAATGAAGGAAAAGACTATCTACTATATAAGCAAGAAGTTTACTCCGTATGAGTCTCGTTACACTTTGCTGGAGAGAACATGTTGTGCTTTGACGTGTCTTGCCAAGAAATTGAGACACTATTTGTGTTCGTATACTTCATATCTCATTTCCAGAATGGATCTGTTGAAGTACATTTTCCAGAAAGCGATGCTGACCGAAAAGTTAACTAAATGGCAAATGCTGTTAAGTGACTTTGATATCGTGTACGTGACTCAAAAGGCAATAAAGGCACAAGCTTTGGCTTATCATCTTGCAGAAAATCCCGTGGATGAAGAATAAGAACCACTTAAGACTTATTTTCACGATGAAGACGTGTCATTTGTGGGTGAAGATATTTCCGAAGCATACACAGGTTGGAGATTATTTATTGACGGAGCAGAAAATCACCAAGGTAAAGGTATTGGAGCAGTCTTAGTATCAGAATCTAATCAGCACCATCCTATGGCAGCTAAGCTTCGATTTAATTGCACAAACAACATGGCCGAATACGAAGCTTGTATTCTTTGTTTGAAAATAGCCATCAACATGAATGTTTATGAGTTATTGGTCATTGGAGATTCAGACCTTTTGATTCATCAGGTTCAAGGTGAATGGGTTGTGAAGAACCCAAAAATTATACCTTACGTACAGTATGTGCAAAATCTGTGTAAAAGGTTTCGCAAGATCGAGTTCAAACATACTTTCAAAATACATAATGAATTAGACGATGCTCCTGCCACCATCACTTCGATGAGAAAACATCCGGATACTGATTACATTGACCCGCTGGATATAAAGTTGAAGGAACATCCAGTCCATTATACACATGTTGAATCAGAACCAGACAATTTGCCTTGGTATTTTGACATAAAGAGGTACTTGGATGTGTGGATGCTGTTGAAACTGTGAGGCTTATTGAACAAATACATGCTGGAGTTTGTGACACACATATGAATGGTCACACTTTGGCAAGAAAGATTCTTTGGGCCGGTTATTTCTGGATGACTGTGGAGAATGACTATTGCAGATTTGTGCAAAAATTCCATAAATGTCAAGTGCACGGTGATTTGTTACGAGTGCAACCTCACGAGCTTAACGCTATGAGTTCACCTTGGCCATTTGTAGCTTCGAGAATGCATTTCATCGGTCCAATAGAGCCGGCCTCTTCTAATGGACACAGATTCATCTTGGTTGTTATTGATTATTTTACCAAGTGGGTGGAGGTAGCCTCTTACAAGTCAGTAACCAAGAAAGTGGTGGCCAATTTTGTTCGCAACAATCTTATATGCAGATTTGGAGTTCCTGAATCGATCATTACTAATAACGATGCAAATCTCAATAGTCATTTTATGAGACAGATATATGAGCAATTTAAGATTTTATATCGAAAGTCAACTGCTTATCACCCCCAAATGAACGGAGTTGTAGAGGCCGCCAACAAGAATATCAAAAAGATTTTGAGGAAAATGATTGACAAACATCGAGGTTGGCCTGAAATGTTGCCATACACTTTGCTAGGTTTTCAAACGACGGTCAGAACATCGACTGGTGTTACTCCATACTTGCTAGTATATGGAACAAAGGCAGTCATACCCGTTGAAGTCGAGATACCATCATTGAGGATCATGCAAGAAGCTGAGTTAAGTAACGCTGAATGGGTTAGCAAACGGGTTGATCAACTAGCTTTGATTGATGAAAAGAATGGTTGCCATCTGCCATGGCTAGTTATATAGACAGAGAATGACTCGCGCCTTTCAAAAAAGAGTAAGAGCCAGAAATTTTGAAGTCGATCAGTTGGTTCTTAAGCGTATTTTTTCTCATCAAGACGAATACAAAAGAAAGTTTGGGCCAAATTGACACGGTTCTTACATGGTTCGTAAAGTATTATTTGGAGGTTTTCTAGTCCTGTCAGAGATGGATGGCATTGTATGGTCCAATCCTATCAACTTAGATGCTGCAAGAGATACTATGTGTGAAGTTCATTTTGCATTTTATGTTATTTACCTGCAATCATTCTATTTTCTTGTATTTGTTCCATTTGAATTCTTATCTCTCTTGTAAATGAACTACGTCTGAGCTGAATTTTTGAGAACAAGATACGTAGGCGGCCTATGTCGTCTTTGGTCACCCCATTTATCCCCTTTAATTATTGCTTTGTATCTGTACTACGTTCGACCTAAATTCTCAAGAATGAGATACGTAGGCGGCCTTTGTCTGCCTCAATCAGTTTCTTTGTAAATTTTATTCTTGTTAGCCTTTAAGGGGAACTAAGTTTGACCTGATTCCTGCCTCAACAGGATATGAAGGTGCCACAAGGGTTCGGTCATATCTCCCGTCAGTTCCATTCCTCTTTACAATAGAATAGGGACAAAAATTTTTAGAGGGACTCAAAAATTCTAAAAAAGATGTTTTCTCCTCAGCAAGTCAAACTAAAGATATTCGAGATCTACAACTGGGACAAAAATTTTGAGAAGATCTCAAAATTTTGCGACCTGTTCAGTTACAATGAGAAGATAAGCAAGACAGTTAACTGGGACAGAAATTTTGAGAATGGCCTCAAAATTTTGTTATGGGTCTTCCCTACAAGTTCGGAGTGACTCTGAAATGCACCAGCAAATAATTAGATAAACCTTTAAGTTTCAGATTCAACGAAGTTTGTTAAGCCTGATATGACATGACTTGGTAGTGACCTTTTTAAGATACTATTTCTTAAAAATTTTATTTCTCTTAAATTTTCCCTATTATGTTTCATTTGTTTTGGCATAAAATATTTTGTCTTATCTATCAAGGATCGGAAAATCGGGAAATCAACCAGAGTTATCAAGACAAGGGCCAACAACTGAAGAAATCCACACAGATTAGTATGTTTTAAAACTGAAAATTTTTCTGTGGACGCAAGTTTATAGCTTTTCTTTGAAATCGGAAAATTCTCCTGACGAATGAATACGGGGAACACCAAAGAGGAGAAAACTATCCCCCAAAATCAGCAATTTTATTTAGAGCAGGAAGCATTTTATATCGCTTATGTCGGAGACTTGGGAATGTGATTTGTTTATTTCAAGCAATTTCCAACAATATGAAATTTACATAGAGTGTCTACTCAGATTCAAAGGTGAATCAAACAGGAATCTCAAAGAAGATTTCACGATTTCCGTAAAGGACGATATTTGTATTACATTGTCAAACAAGATAATTATTGTCAATCAAGACAATGCATTACCCCACAAGGGATAAATATTTTATTGTTATTTATTATCGATCAAGGCGATATATTATCTGGAGGTCGTCTTGCCGTTATCATCAACAGAGATGATATAAAATCCTGCATTGCGGAAAATCATGCATTGCGGGAAATCATGCATCGCGGAAAACCATGCATTGAGAAAATCATGCATTGCGGAAAATCATGCATTGCGGAAAACCATGCATTGTGGAAAATCTGGCATTGCGAAAATCATACATAGCGAAAAATCATGCATTGCAGAAAGTCATGCATAGCAAAAAATCATGCATTGCAGAAAATCATGCATCGCGGAAAATCATGCATTGCGGAAAATCATGCATTACGGAAATTATGCATCATGAAATCATACATCGCGGAAAAACATACCTCACTGGGATTTATGCATCACGAGAAGAATCTATGGCTCGTTGAAAATCATGCATCGCAAGTCAATAATTATTCACGAGAAGATTTCATGCCTCGTAAAAATTTATACATCGCGAGAATATTTCATACCTTGCTTAAATTTATGCACGACGAGAAGACTTCATGCCTTGCAGAAATTTATGCTTTGCGAGAAGATTTTGTACCTCGCAGGAATTTATGTATCGCGGGAAGATATTCATGCCCCGCAAGAAGTCATACACGGATAAAGAAAGGGAAATTTCGTATCCCAAGAGGGATATTTATTCATCGGCCTCAATGGCATTCTTTTATTTTTTTGATAAAAGTAAACATCAAGAAGAGCATCGAAGATGACGTCAAAAGAAACACCGACATAGCATCAACAGTTATTTATTTATTCCGACATCAAGAATAGAGTACATTGAGGATTAAATTGCAAAACACAAGTCATAAGCTTTATTTTCTGTACGTTAGAACGATCGAGTCGACGTTGAATATTGAGGAGAACAATGAAGTGTTCACATGGTAAAAAGACACTATCTCCCATCCTAATTGCATTTTTAAGCTGACGAGTTTTATCTGAGCATTTGTCGAGAGCATCTAAGAGGATGAATTCTACCAAAAATAACAAGTGTGGACAACATAAAAAAAGATGCAGCAAAATGTGGAATTTTTTCTTAACAACGAACTGGGACACAGTCCAAAGAGGAATGTCAAACTCTTAGGACACGAGCAGAGAAACGACTTCCACCACAATCGAACCACCCATATCTTAAGGCATGTGGGTATTTCTTTAGGTCTTTCAGTTTCAGTCTCGCATCCAAAAATTTAGATTTATCGGAAACAAGTTTCCAATCTGAGTGACAATGCGCCAAGAGCTTTGGAAATTATGTCAGTGTAAGCTCTCAATTATGGGTGTGAAGCACGCCACATTCATGGCTAAGAGGTTACAAGCCTCCTTTTCATACTCGTTTAACTAGTCACTTATCCAAAACCAAAGGTTATCTATCATAATAGATTTCCTTTTCAACCGATCAAGTTGAACTACACACAACCTGATTCCTGAAGGTCTAAGGATATGTAGGCGAATTCAATGTTGAAAACTCGGCTGTATTCCAACATTCGCTCTCGAATTTTTTTCTCGAGCATTTTGATACTTTCAAAATTCGGTATCGAGGTGGCTTTTGAATTCTTTCAAAATCATGCGTTAAATCAAACTTATCGAACTACAAGTGGCCAGAATTGTCATATAGCCCGAGATATGTAGGAAACCCATTTCAAGGGTTCAACCATAATTCCTAAACCCCTTGCCGAATTCTTCCCTTAAAGATAGGTGAGGTTGGTCAAAATCGGTTTGGTCAATTTCATTTTCCTCGGGTTGCTTGCATCAATTCAAGTAAAATGAGGGACAATTGTTGACACCTAATTTCGGTCCACCCTGATACGATTAATTCACGAGCTTTTTAATTACTAGACAATTTAGAATAATTTTTTTTTATGAAATTCATATATTTTCCGAAGTATTTTAAGTAATTTTGGTTGACTTTTATAATTTTATAATTAGAAAATCTTTCATATATATTCCGTAAATATTTGAAAATTATCTCAAAATATTTTAATTTTTTTTAGTTAGTATTCTACTAATTTGATTTAGTTTTAAATTATGGATTTTTATTTATTTATCATCAGCTTGTAATTAAAATTAATAATTTTATTTTGTTAAAATTAAGAAGCTCGTTGATTAATTGATACGAATTTGTCTTATTTAAATCTTAGTCAAATTCCTTAAATTAATTTAATTTGAATAGTCTAAGACATAACCTTTTTCTGTTAACCCATTTGGAAATCAATCTTGGCCCTGTTTCCAAATTACCTGCCCACTTCAACCCAAATCTCCTTCCTATTCCCTTCCCAGCAGCCCACAAATTCCCTAAGTCCAATTCGTAGGCCCAACAGTCTTTACTTTATGATATTTTAAAAGACTAGAGTTGGGCCTTTATTTTCTTTCCTTCAGCCCATTGGAAATCAACCTTTTCCTTCTAACCGACCCAACACCATTTAATTCCCAGCCCAAAATTCGCTTCACCTTCAAACCTAACCAAAACCAGACATCAGCACCTTCTTCATCTTCACGTTCCGCCTGCAGAATATATGCGCAGGAAAATTCCCAGAAAACAGAGCCTCCCATCTCATTCACGTGCAAGGGATTCTTAGAAATGCCCTCCTTTTGTTTTTGTCTTCTTCCTCGCGTAGCCCCAACATCGCGCGTCCTTCCCTCTCCCTTCGCGCTCGTACAAGCGCAGTTAGAGTAGCTGCAACCCTCGCTCGTACAGCCTTTGCAGCGCATAAGATGACGCAGAATCATCCTTGGTGTTGTAGGATTGAGCCACGTCGCTTGCTTGGTACAGTGAAGTGATCTCCACCCTACACCTCCCTTTATTGCGTTTGGATCTTATGTATTTTGATAGAATTTTGGAATTCAAATTTTGAATTAGGGATGGGCCTGAAGTGGATTTCTTCTAGCCTTCTCCTTTTCGTAAACCCTAATTATTTCTTCTATATAAACCCCCCTTATCCGATAATCAAGGGGGTTGGAAAAATATTGTTTATGTTTCATTGCAAGGATTTTTCTACTGTTCTTCTTCTGTCCAATTTTGGAGAGGAGTTTTCTATCTGTATTAGAAAGGTTTTCCAAAAACGAAATAGGCATAGAGGTAAACATAGGGAACTGAAGAAGAAATCGAGAGATACGTTCTATTTTGTCATAGTGTATGTGACTATGGTATTCCATTGACACGTCTTAGCCGTGGTTCATGTTTGCTTTCAGTGTTGAAGCTCATCCTCATTTAGCTCGACTGTCCCTGTTTCGCTGCTCCAAAGAAGGTATATTTTCCATTTTTACAGTTTTCTTTATGGAACTCGAACTATGGCTTTTGTTGCTGTAAATATCAGATGTTACACCGGATGGCTTTGCTTAAATCCGAGATATATCATGTGTTATGGTTTGTTTTGTTGTGTTCGTTTGTTTTGTGTTGATCTTTGCTTTTTTTGAGTTCGTTATGGTTCCGTTGCAATCGATCTTCTCGTGTTGGTGTTTGCTGTTGA